CTCTGTAGGTGCCAGTGATCTGAGCACATACCTGAGATCTCTGGTGGGATTCCACAGCCTGATCTGAAGTCCATGCCAACAGATCTGCCATTACCCATGCCAGCTAGGAACCTATCTGTGCTGTAATTGTGCCTTCAGTGACAGTGGGGGCATAAGGCTTACTTGATTTTACAGCAGCTCAAATGAGCAGCAAGACGAGAGTGTTTCACATGCTTCTGAGGACTGACAGAATTTTTAAAAAGATCAGTGATACGAATTAACAGAAACATCTGGGGGTTTGGAGACTCAGCCAAACTTTTTTGAATTATAAAAACTGAGGGATTAGGCTTTCCTGAGATTTCTTCCTAATGCTTCCTGGTTTGAGGGAGGTTTTCTGGCAATATTTCCCGCTGTTGGGTCCAAAACCATTGGGTGCTCTCATATAGGAAGACAAAGTAATTTTTGAAGTATTGTGTTTATTATGTCCATTCCAAGTAGGAATAAATAACACAGTGTTTAAAACGACAACAGAGAACATAATTATCTAGGCATTAGGATTCTCAGTGTTGCTAGTGAAGGTAAGGCTCTAGACCTAGGCCCTTAGAAACCTCTCAGTGCCCATGTCTATCTGATGAAGCCTCACCAACCTCCTCAGAACTGCAGCGGTTTTGTTGCCAAAACCTGGAAGCAACAAGGTTCTCTACTCACATGTGTTTCTTACACACACACTTCCTGCCCTAAATTGTTTAAGTTTCTAATGATGATTGTTCATAAAACTATCTCACTGCAGCAGGAATCTCAAAAGTAGCTTCTTTCTTACTAACTGGACTTGAGGGTTGGAGAGAGAAGGCATACTCCAGACCTGCTTAGAGGAGATCTAATAGTCTACCTGTCAGTTTGTGTACATGTATCCTTGAGATTAGAGTATTGTGACTGCATGTATGACTGGAAGGTGGTGGGAAATGGGGCCGAATTTGCAGGCAAGAAATGTTTACTCTTCCCTACAGAGAGCTGTGTCTAGGAAGAGTTACTGCTTTCTGGTCAGTCAGCCCCGTCTCCACCTACACGGTGCCTTTTTCCTCTACACTTAGCACCGGGAAGCAAAAGTGAGTCCTTGCACCCTGATGTGACCAGATACAACATGATCCTTGCAAAGTGTGTGGCACAAGGAGCCACAAGGGTAGTGAAGTTCACTAAAAGACTGCACGTCTTCAAGTTGCTTTGTCTAAAGGGAAGGATTAGCTGCTTTAGCAGTTGTACGCAGGAAGGAGTACCTACCTATCTGTATAGTCAGAAACAAAGGAGTTGTATCTTTTAAGGATGACAGGAGGTGAAGTAGTCCCCACACAGTTCAGCTGAACCTTTTCAATGGCTCAGGAACTAAAAAAAAATAAATCTCAGCCTTACTTTGGATCTTACTGTACCTCATGGGGATAAAAGTCCTTAAGAGTAGGATTTTCAAAATCGTCTTCATCCTTATGCTATTAAGTTTCTTTGAAAATTGGTCCATTTCTGGATGTGGATATTTCCTCAACTTGTCTCTGTTTCTATTTTGTAGTTTCTGAAGAGTTGCAGCTAACCTGAAAATTGTCCATTTGTGGCATTTTGATATGGCTTGTTGGGGCACAACAACAGGAGAAAACTTAATGCTTAAGATAATTGAACTTAAGCCTGGCTTCCCTCTTCGTCACCCAGAACAAATAGTAGTGATGATGGTAATAAGAGACACACACTTGATTCTGCAATGTGTGCCTGATTAGGAATATTGATGGAAATCGGTACGGGTGACTTCTCAAGAGTCAAATGTTTGTGAAAAGTAAAGTAGACCCTTCCCTTTTTTTGTTTTATGGGAGAAACTGGAACAGAAAAAGTGAAGTAAACACTGTATCCTCCCTGTCCTCCAACAAATTGTTTTTATTAGAGTGAAATAGTCCCTTTTATTTTCCATTACTGCCCTCATAAAAATATCCCCTTTTGAATGAAATTAAATTTAACCATTTTCGTATCATGGTTTGCTTAGTTTGCTTTTAGTAAAAATATGTAAACTTAATACTTAGTATGATATTGGTTCAACTGTTCTCTTCTGACTTTAAGAGAAGGTCAGATTTGCGACCACTTGAGAAACCTGAACATACATAATTCTATGGGACCTGACAAAATGCACCCCAGAGTCCTAAATGATGTAGTTGTCAGGCCACTGTTCATGATATTTGAGAAGTCATGGCAGTCAGGTGAAGTCCATGAAGACTGGAAAAAGGGAAACATTGCAATTATTTATAAAAAAGGAAGAGAGGAGGACCTTGGGAAATACTTACCTGTCAGTCTCACCTCTGTGCCTGGGAAGACTGTGGAACAAATCCTCCTAGAAGCTACACTGAGGCACATGGAAGACAGGGAGGTGATTCAAGGCAGCCAGTATGGCTTCACCGATGGCATGTCCTGCCTGAGCAATGTTGTGGCCTTCTATGATGGAATGGCTACATCAGTGGACAAGGGAAAAGCAATGGATGGCATGTATCTGTACTTAGGTAAGGCCTTTGACATGGTCCCCCACAACATCCTTCATTCAAGTGGAGAGACATAGATTTGATGGGTGGACGGTTCAGTGGATTAGAAATTGATTGGATGGTCACATCCAGAGGGTAGTGGTCAATGACTCAATGTCCAGAGAGAGGTCAGAGACAAGTGGTGTCCCTCAGGGTTCTGTATTGGAGCTGGTGCTGTTTAGTATCTTCATCAATGACAGTGGGATCGAGAGCACCCTCAGCAAGTTTGCAGACAATGCCAAGCTGATTGATGCAGCTGACACACTTGAGGGATGGGATGCCATCAAGAGGGACCTGAACAAGCTTGAGAAGTGGGCCCACATGAGCCTCATGAGGTTCAATAAGGCTAAGTGCAAGGTTCTGCACGTGGGTAGGGGCACCCCCCTGGTATTAATACAGGCTGAGGGACTGAGAGATTGAAGACAGCCTTGAGGAGAAGGTCTTCAGGGTGATGGTGGACAAAAAGCTCAACACAGACTGGCAATGTGCACTTGAAACCTAGGAGGCCAGCTGTATCCTGGGCTACATCAAAAGAAGCACAGGCAACAGGTCAAGCGAGGTGGTTTTGCCCCTCTGCTCTGCTCTGGTGGGACCCCACCTGGAGTGCTGTGTCCAACTCTGGAACCCTCAGAACAGAGAAGACATGGACTTTTTAAAGTGGGTCCAGAAGAGGGCCAGGAAAATGATCAGGGGGATACAACACTTCTCCTATGAAGAAAGACTGATGGAGATGGAGTTGTTCAGACCGCTCTAGGGAGACCTCACTGCAGCCTTTCAGTACTGAAAGGAGACTTGTAAGAAAGACGGGGTCAAACTTTTTAGCAGGGCCTGTTGCAATGGGATGAGGGATAATGGCTTTAAAGTGAAAGAGGGTAGATTTAGAGGTGATATAAGGAGGGTTGTGAAACATTGGAATGGGCTGCCCAGAGAGGTGGTAGATGCCCTATCCCTTGAGACATTGAAGTCAGATTGAAAGGGCCTCTGAGGAACCTGATCTAGTTGAAGCTGTCTCTGCTTATTGAAGGAGGTTGCACAAGATGACCTTTGAAGGTCCCTTGCAACCCAAGCTATTCTGTAATTCTATGAATCTATAATTCTAAGATTATTCTTAAAAGGAGTTTCCTGTGTTATAAAATCAGTGCAGAGAAAAATAGAGTTACCCAATTTTACCATACCTGCTGAATTGTGCACTCTGGGATATGTATCTTCCATTTAAATATTCTAGTATAACATAAGTTATGCTATTCTGGTATAAACACGAGGAATGTATCCTTACATTCTCAATAGTTTGACTGATTTCTTGGTTTACATGCTGCAGGTTTTATTTGATTTAACAGTCAGTACTACAAGAGAAAATAAAAGTGAAAAAATCCAGAAGCCTAAGATGAAGGATGCTTTGAGAAAGAATAGTCTCCAAATTGTTTACTTTCTATGAGCTCTCACTCTTTGAATTCACTCACAAATTTGCAGCAAATTGGCTGCATGTGTAGCTGTGTGCCCATGTGCTATGGATATATGGTAAGATGTGCCTAGCTGTAGCTTTATATTACAAATGGGATAGTTAGCCTCATTGTTCCTAAGTTGCAAATGTAAATCCATTTATGGCTTTTCAATTTTGCAATTTTGCACGCTATTAGTGTGAAATCAGTTTGCAGTTTTGCAGCTCACATGTCCTTAAACCTCAAAGCAAAACGCAGAGATTTATGAACTCAGGTGAATCAAAGCTCCAGGAAAAGCTCTCACGGAACAGAGATTTGTACAATTCTTATCTTCTATCAAATTATTCAAGCAGAAAGCAGAGAAAATCTCTTATATAATATTTGGGAAGTGAGGAAAAAGGGAATAGGAATATAATGACAACACTTGGTAATATGCTTCTTCACTGTCCTCTCAGAATTTTGATTGATAGATTCCTCTGCAGTCTCCTCTATTAGGCTAATTTAGAGAGTCACCTGCAAGTTGCATGTAGATCTTGCTAAGCTTTTCAAATTACTCCCTAAAGAAAGAGGTGCTCTATGCTGCAGTTTATTAAGCCCACTTCTTTGATACGTCTCAGTGCCACACACATATCTGAAAGAGAAATCTGAGCATATATTAGATGGTGAGGAATTTGGAGGTTTTAAAATACTGGTATTGGTTTCTCGGTTTGTCTTCCCCTCTCTCTTGTCACCCGTCACCCCTCCCCACCCCCAAAAGTAGTTAGTCTTTCTAGATTATAAAGCCAGAAGGGACCATTGTGATCATCAAATCTGACCTTCTGCTTAACACAGGCCATAGGCCCTGCTGAATTAATTCCTGTCTGAACTAGAGCATATCTTTCCGAAAGTCAACTTCTCACTTCCCAGCATATGAAAAGGTCTCCCATGACACCTATAGACCTTTCATAATGGACAGATTCTTCCCATGATACAGACAAATGGAGTTTTTCCTGGGAGGTAGTGCCCCACTCTGAGCTGATAAAGGAAGACCCAGGAACTATAGGTATGCTGTGATTACTTCTTTTGCACTCTGTGATGTTCCAGAAGCTTGTGCGTCTTCTGCTTTATGAGATATACTTGGCCTAGGGGAGCTAAGTGGAAGGATGAGGGAGAAGAGGAGGTGCATAATGGTATGACCTCCAGCACTATTATTTATGACAGTATCCTTCCAGCAATCTGTGCCTGCATAGGGTGAAGGCATGGTTTCAATTCTGCCCTTGAAACATGGATTAAGCAATGTTGCTAATACATATTTGTCCCTGCGGCTGTCAAACATTTCACTGATACTAGACTCTGTAGACAGCTTAATAGCTAGGTCTTCTGTCAATGTTACTGCAGCAGTGTCTCCTTTGCTTTAAGATGCTGTTCAGATTTATTCAAGCAATAGGTGTAGCATGGTGCTTGGTAAATAGCAGCACCTGACTGTATACTTGTATCATCACTGCTTGCTGACATTCCAAGTGACCAGATGAAATGGATAGACTATGGAAACCAAGCTCTGAGAAGAATCCAGTGAGTGAAAGCTGGAAAGATCATCTGTCTTGTTCCTATTTTATGCCTCCTAACAGTTGCATGCACAATGTGTTATTATGCTAGAAGACTCTGAACAATACGTACCATCCACAGGACTTGAAAATACATGTATCCAACAATATTGGACAAATGGTTTTATTACTGCTGTTAGTATGATACGTTACTGGTGCTGATGTAATCTAAGTGTTGTGGGTTTTCACATAACAACGTTTCACATATGACTTAATTTAATTTCTCTGGATGCTAGAGACTGAAATTATCTGTGCAAAGATGAGCACCAGAAGTGTCATAGTATGTGCCCACACATGCTGGCAGTATTTTGCTACCTACTGAAAAGCAAAATACAACTGAAGGATGACATTTTTCCAAACTGCAAAATTACAGTTCACCTGTATGGTGGGAAGTGATGAATATTTGACTTCTCAATGCTATTGTCACTAACTGACAGAGGAGCAATGGTTGGTATTACCTCTACTTCACACTTGCTTCAGTTCACAGCTTTGGCTTTTTAGACTACCAGGCTTTTTCACTATAACTTTCTGCTGGAGCTGGTTTGTTTTTTTTTCTTCACCACTGATGATTGGAAAACTGTCACAAATACTTCAAAATCTTTCCTCAGCAGATAAAAATATTTCCATAGGTCATTTTTATTCTTCAACAGGTATTTCCTCTCCCCAGCATTTGCATATAACTGTCCCAGATTGGCAGGACGCCGCATGTTCCAAAGAACTGAGTTGGGTCTGCATTGTGAATGCCAACACTGGCTGCACTGGGAAGCTCTGTGCAACTGCTGGGTTTGAAGCAGCAGAAAAAAAGTAGCCAGCTGCTGAAGCCTTGGAAACAGGTAAGCACAATTTCAGAAAGCCTCACTGTTGGAAATGAAGTAAATGCCTAGATCTTTTGGAGTTTCTTTCATTTGCCCTCAGTTTCTCTTTTCTTCCAATAGTGATCGCAGGGCTGGAAGAAAAAACCTCTGGACCTTGTTTGATACCATTTCCTGTGTGGAATTGAAAGTGTCAAAGTGCCCTGGAATTTAAGTCCTGTGATATTGACTACAGAAATGACAGTTATTATTGTACAGTAATTTCTCTGAAGTTTCTTCATCACAAATGGTCACATGCACAATCAAAACACTTCCTCTGTGTGACTTTGCTGTAGTTTCAGACTCCCTTTGCTAGCCCCCAGGGACATGAAGACCTTAGCTCTGACCTACATTTCTGCTAATTCTCCTACTGAGTCCCCCTTTGCTTATTCTGCTTTGCCAATAATACCTTTATGTCCTTTTCCTGCCTTTCTGCCTACCTCTATGATCTATTGGTAACTGTTCAGTACTCTCTAAAATTTCTGTTTTGCCTTGAGGCAAATGGAAGAAAAATGCACTGTGATTAAACTTACATGTAGCATGGAGAAATAACATTTTTATTTTCTCTCTCAGTTCTAAGGCAACTATTTGGTGAGTGGGAAGGGATATTCCATGCTTGGTATTTCTATATTTTCTAGAACATGGAGTCTGAAGTATGATGTATAGGTCAAATAATATTTTTAGTTTATTTTTGTTGTTGTTGTTGTTGTTTTTGTTTTTGAGAAACATTGAAAAATCAGTGTTTGTATTCTTCCACAAACCATTCCACATTCCTACTTGATTGTTGCAAACTAATGGCTGAAATTAACAATTTGGGAAGGATAGAGTCTTGTCATATGTCGACTAATGGAAAATGTAATTTTTAGAAATATGATTAAATTAAATGTCTTTTTTTTTTATAATGAGAAAACTGGTGAATTTGGCTAAAATGAGCTTGAATTTCCGCTTGGTCTGGGCTATCCTCCTAAATAAAGAATAGGGAGAATAAGCTTACTTTCAGCTCCTTACTGGGAACTGCTGTTCATTTTCTTGTACCACTGACACTGTTTTTTAACCTTTACTTGTCTGTCCTTACTGACTTTCATATCCTTCCATTCCCCTTGAGGGTTACACCTACTGTATCCTGGTTTATTACCTAATCAAGCTCCCATTTGTTTCTCTTCGAGGTTTAGTAGGCTAAGCTCCATGTTCAGGGAAGAAAACCAAGGCATACCATCAGCCTGGCCAATCCCAATGGCCAGCTACAGGATCACAAGTACCAAATACTGGGGGTACCACTCACAATGAGCAGTTTATGAGCAATTTGTTGGCTGAAATTGGTTTACACAAAACAGCTATTGGACAGCTTCAGATAGAAAAGGAACTTATAAAACTGCAGTCTGTTCATGAATTGTGTTCATGAGTATAATAAAGTATGTGGTACAAACTCTTTGCTTGCTGTTAACTTCTTCAAGGGAGACATAAGATGCTGCTGATGCCACTGGAGAGAGCTCAGGACCCATCACCCTTACTGTACAAGAATATTGTTTAAATGAAAGAACTCATGTGAAACGAAGCAAATAATGG